CTGGCACTGCTGCTGGTTCTGCTGGCAGGACATCTCGGCAGGAACTTGACCTTGAACAAATAAAGGACATGTTGAGCTCAGAAGCTCCAAAAGTTTCAATGTCTCCTCCCCACAGTTTTTGTCAAACACTCATCCTCCATGATGACCAAGCTGCCTGCTAAGCCAAGCTCTGGGGGAAGGACATGGGAACACGGAGGGGCCAAGTGCATTTGGATAAAGCACCTTCACGGATGCCAGATGGGCCCATGTGCATCTCTAACAGCATACTCAGCAGGGATGGGAAGGAGTCCTCGGGACCTTGGCTTTTGGGGTTCACAACCCCCCGATAGGTGCCCAACCGGCTCCTTCCTCACCATCCCCATTCCTCCTCTGCTGCCCACTGTGGGCCTCTTCCCCCTGGTTCCATTCAGACCTGAGCCCCTCTCCCTCCACTCCCAGCTGAGGCCTGTCCCCTTGCAGACACTCACCGGAGGCAGAGGAGGCAGGAGAAGCTGTTCCTGGGGAGGCTGTGGATGGGGAGCCCAGGGCAGGAGCCCTTTTATCCTGTGCTGGTTTGTGACGCAGGGCCTGGGCATGCTGCTGCTTTCACAAGCAGGGGGAGGTGGCAGCGGGTGCACCTCCAGGACAAGGCTTCCGGCCTTTCACCTGAGCACTTGCATAACGTCCAACTAATGCCATTCAACCAGGAAGCAGGATGACTATCCACATAAACTCCTGCCGGGGCTTCCTGGGAGCCTGGCACTCCACTTCCTTCCTTTCTTCCTGCCTTCTCCCAGCTGCCATGCCTCAGTTCTGCCTGTCTCAGGTACCGTCCCAGGAGCAAGGATGGCTATGAAAACATTCTGTCCTTCCATTCTACCGAGAGACTCACGTGAGCAATTAATAAATTATAAAACAATTCCAAGGGATACATGTAATTTAATGTGCACAGTGTCTCGAGGCTGTCCTAGTGACCATGACCTTCAGGTAGAAGCGACTACTTCCCCCTGAGCTCCTGGCAATGAGATGTAGGCAAGGGATGGGACTAGTGTAGGGCCCCATCTTGCAGAGTGAGCCCTCAGATGACCTCCTGGCACCTTTGAGCAGCATGAAGTTTCAGGCATGAAGGGAGCAGACCCAGCTCATGGACAAATATGGACATTGACCAGAGTTAAAAATGTGTATTTTTCTTACTGAATTAACCTAAACTCAAAACTATTTGCACATTGGAATCTATGATACTATCTAGCTGTAGTAAAAAAATATAATTAGGGCTATGAACTTTAATAAACCATATGTCATTTACATAATTTTTGCTGTTGTAATAACATCATTTCTTATAAAGAAAAACGTTCATGACCTTTTGTTAACTGGTAAAAAGCAGGTGATAAAGCAGCACACATAGTTAATTAAATGATTTTGAATGGATTCATTTTTATAGGATATGTGTTTTATTCTTTAATGACCAGTCAAACCTATAGGACTACCCCTAGGTTTTTATCAAGAATTTTTTTTTTAATTATGTTTACAGAAACACCCACAAGTCCGTGTCTATAGTAGCTTTACTCATAATTGCCCTGAACTGGAAACAGCCCATGTCTTTCAACAGGTGAATGGATAAAAAAAATGAGATACATCAATACAATGGAATGGTACTTAGCAATAAAGAAGGAATGAACTAGTAATATAAGAAACAAACAGAATAAATGTCAAGTGTATCATTCTGTGTGAAAGAAAAAACAACAACACAGACTTTAAACAACAGGGGGATGAAGACATGAATGGGAGGATGGTGGGGGTAATGGGGGTTAAGTACACATATGTAATACCTTAATCAATAAAGAAAGTTTAAAAAAATAACAAATAAATAAATGCTACGAAGTATATGATTCCAATGATATGACATTCTGGAAAAGGCAAAATTATAAGGACTAAAAATAGATCAGTAGTTGTCAAGGTCTGGTATGGGGAGGGCTGAGGAGAAAAGCCATGGAGTGATGATTCCATAGGGTCATGAAGAAATGTATTCTAGGGATGGAATTGTACTTTATCTTAATGGTAGTGGTGTTCACACATTGGTCTGTGTTAGTCAAGGCTTACAGCATTGCATACTTTAAATGGGTGATTTCTTTCTGTTTGTAAAATATACTTCAAGAAATCTGACTTAAAAATAGAATAAAATAATACAGTTTAGGAATATAAATGTTAAATGTGATTTTTAAAATACAAAAAACGGAAGTAAAGAATAATAAATACAAATTCAGGGGGTGATTACAGCAGCAGGAGCTGGTTGGGGATAAGGTACATAGTAAGTTATATGTACCTCACTATTAGAGTTCTCCTTTTCACTTTTGTGCTGGATTTTTGTGTTTGTTACTTAAATAATGATAGATGGTAGATAGGTAGATAGATAGATAGATAGATAGATAGATAGATAGATAGATAGATAGATAAGCAGTTAGATAAATTAACTAAGAGGACTTTGCATGGATTAATGATGAGCATATATTACAAACTATGGATTAATTTATCCAAATCGATGCACTTAATATCCAAAAACAAGGCAAGTAAATGACAAACTCCAGGAATAAATATTTTCCTAGCACACTGTTTTCATGCTTGCTCATCTTCCCCTCTTGGCAGCATCAGTCATCAGTCACTAAAGAGGAGGGCAGGTCCTCGTTTATTGGTTGCTCATTTATTACTAATATGCTTGCTCAGAAGGCTCAGCCTGAAGCTGGACCTCAGATAAAGCAATTCCTGCCCCGAGCTAACATACATGTTATGAGGTCATACAATGCTCATTTTAGACCAACCGGGTAGACTTCTCCTCCACATGTTATTCTAGATTCCTCAGGGATGGCAAGGCTCCTAAAACATCCTCAAAGTGCTCCACTTTTGGAGTCACTTCGTGCTCTGGGCCATGGGTTCAAGTATCTTCTGTCACCTCCAGCTCACCTGACATTTTAGGCACAGCGTGGACACTCTTGTGAGAAGGACAGGGAGGCTATACGGTGAGGGAGGCTTCATGCGGGAGGTGTGAGATTAAGGAGATCCCAATCAAGCAGAGGAATGGGGGCATCAGGAAATGGAGACAAGGACTGAGATGGGGACTCAGGCTGGGTAAGAGACCCTTCTGCTGGAGGTTCTGAAACAATTGGGGCCACTCTGATGGGGGGCATGTGTCACACCCCAAGTGTAGCCCCACAGCAAGTCAAAATCACACATCTCTGGGGTTAAAAATGGCCTCTGTGCTTTCTTTCTGGGGAACCACGTGACATGAAAAAGTAATGATTTCCTTCTACAGCTAGTCTGGAACCCATAGACAACTCAGCTCTTGTTACACCTACATTGTTAGGTGTCATCCCAAAGGCAAATGCTCACTTAGTGTTTATCCTCTCTGCTCAGTTGTCAGGGACCTGAAAGCAGAGAATGTGCCTTCCCTCGCTGCAGAAATCCTAGCTGAGGAAGGTACTAACTGGCCCAGCTGGTACACAGTATGTGCTTCTCAGATGAAGAATCCTGGGAATGAATGATAGGAGAGAGTGTTCAGGCAGATAGGACTGCAGGTGGCAGTAGGAAGGAGAGAGGCGCTGAGCAAAGAAGCCAGGGAGTGATGCCTCCAACAGGGGTCCTGGAGGAAGGTCTGGGTAGCGCCCCGCAGTGGTCGCAGATTTCCCTGAGAGCAGGCTCTGGCGGGCACTGGCCCATCCCTATCTGCGGGCCTTAGGCATCAGCAGGAAAGTGGTGGCTTCCCCCACTTCCGGTTCTTCTCCAGCCTCCCCAGGGCACATTCTGGGGCAAGCACCAGAGTGAGCGAATGGCTGTTTCATTGAATTTTATTTAATTAAACTTAAATGTGTGAATGTTAAAGTCCCAATGATCTTCCTTTATAAATAAATGTGAAACATTTTATTACCATTATTTGAGATAAATGTGATGAGGAATTCATCTGTAATATCACAATGAAAGAAAATGGGAAAATAGTATTTGGCTTACATAAAGCTTATCTATTATGAGGTCTTAGCCATTATGTGGGCAAATAGGCTCACCAACCACCTCTAGCATTGTCAGCTTCCCAATTATCAACCTTGTTTATGAAATGGCTCATTTTTATCATTTGAACAATTTTCCTTAATTCTTCCAGGCAGAAGAATTTCTACTGTGTCAGGATCAATAGGACATAATGCCCCAGTCAGGAAGAAATAGAGCCACAATGGAAAAGAGGATATTTTTCTCTCCATCTTCCTCCTCCTCCTTGTAGTCTCCGTCCTCCTTCGTCTTAAGAATACCAATTGTGAATCTTGTCATGGCTAGAGTTGTAAGTTCCTTCTCCATTCTAACTCCTCTGCCATATGGGGACAAGAGTTCCTCTTAGGAATTTTTCTGTCCTAGACAAGAACTGTCTTCAAGCTCCTTCCTTTAGCCCGCATCACACTCCCACAACACAATGATCTTGCCCAGCTGTCACCCCTGGAGAGCATCTGAAGACTCCATCTCCCTATGGGGCCTGCAGTACAATGGGCATTGACCTCCAAAAGCTGGACTCTGAGGCCTGAGGTCTTTGTAAACACCCCTATGACAGTATTTATTTCATCACATCCATTATATTCTTTGTCTAAGTGATGGTCCATTTAGGCTGTGAGATACTCCAGGGAAGAGACATGTCTTAAGTATCTCTATATTATTACTATTAAATGAGGTAAAAGAGCCTGTGTTCATGCATGGGAATGAATGAATGAATAAATAAATGAATGAATGAACGAATGAATGAATATATAGCCGCAGGTCCTAGGCAGACTTGAATGGGAAGTATTTGGCAGTCACAAGGACATCCTGGTTCATCTTATTAAAACTTTAGGCTCCTGCCCAGGAAGACACTGAGGGAGGCAACTAGGAAGTGTGTGGCGCTGCCACCTCCCCCTGCTTGTGAAAGCAGCAGCATGCCCAGTCCCTGCGTCACAAACCAGCACAGGATAAAAGGGCTCCTGCCCTGGGCTCCCCATCCACAGCCTCCCCAGGAACAGACTTCTCCTGCCTCCTCTGCCTCCGGTGAGTGTCTGCAAGGGGACAGGCCTCAGCTGGGAGTGGAGGGAGAGGGGCTCAGGTCTGAATGGAACCAGGGGGAAGAGGCCAATTTGGGCAGCAGTGGGGGAGGCTCTTCCATGAGGAAGAGCCACACGGGCACCTAACAGGGGGCTGTGAACCCCAAAAGCCAAGGTCCTGAGGACTCCTTCCCATCCCTGCTGAGTATGCTGTCAGGGATGCACATGGGTCCATCTGGCATCCGTGAAGGTGCTTTATCCAAATGCACTTGGCCCCTCCGTGTTCCCATGTCTTTCCCCCAGAGCTTGGCCTAGTTGGCAGCTTGGTCATCATGGAGGATGAGTGTTTGACAAAAACTGTGGGGAGGAGACATTGAAACTTCTGGAGCTTCTGAGCTCAACATGTCCTTTATTTGTTCAAGGTCAAGTTCCTGCCGAGATGTCCTGCCAGCAGAACCAGCAGCAGTGCCAGCCCCCTCCCAAGTGCACCCCCAAGTGCCCCTCCCCCAAGTGCCCCCCAAAGAGCCCAGCACAGTGTTTGCCCCCAGCCCCCTCTGGCTGTGCTCTGAGCTCTGGGGGCGGCTGTGGCCCCAGCTCCTCTGAGGGTGGCTGCTGCCTGAGCCACCTCAGGCACCACCACAGGTCCCACCGCTGCAGGCGCCAGAGCTCTGACTCCTGTGACACTGGCAGTGGGCAGCATTCTGGGGGCTCTGGTTGTGGCCACAGCTCTGGTGGCTGCTGCTGACCTGGATCTGCTGCTGAGACCAGCGACTTGAGAGAAGACAAGAAGCCAGAGGAGAAGCCCCAGCCAGACCCAGCCTCTCCCAGACCCCCCATGCTCATCTGTCTGCCCAGCCTGAGCTGGGATGTCCCCAGGGAGGGTTTCCACTTCTCTCTGGTTGATCTTCCGGTTTGATGCCCAGGATCTCACAATTCTTCCACCTTCAGCACGTGACAATGATTGGCATTGCCTAAACCTTTAAAAAAAAAATAAAGCTTCTTTTCCTCATCGCCATGGGCAGCTTGCATGTCTTTTCACTCTGTCCCTTCTCTCAGTTCCTTGGTCAACAAAATGCATTTCTGGGAGCAGAATCTTAATTTTGGACCCAGAATAAATACCATATTTTCTGGCGTATAAGACGACCCCCTAATTTTACAGTTAAAACATAGGTTTAGGCCTATATTCGCTGTATAAGACTACCCCCCACCTCTGAGGCAACACCAGTTCTTTTTTTAATAGACCGCCTCTCTGACTCTGGCCAGTCTGAGCAGGCTTTTTTTCATTTCAAAAGTCGTCCTATACGCCGGAAAATAAGGTATATCAGTTTCCCCTCCACCCATAGAAGGGCTGAGAAGAGATTTTAGGTTGGAATGGAGATGGAAAGAAGGGTGAGAGTCGTATTGCTTTGAGTCCTTGCAACTCTCAATGAAAGGATTAATTTTTCCTGTGAAACCTGAGTCGGTATTGGTATAATCTGGGAATTGCTACTGTAGGACATGAGACTTTTATATATTTCAATATGCTGTTTATGAGTCCTAATTAAGAAACAGGGAATCAAGAGGCAAGGAAACAGAAAATCGGCGAAGGGAGGAGACATATGCCTTAGGAAGGAGACTTAACTCAATGTGCTCTATGAAAATACAGGCGATGGAAGGAGAGAAGCATTTACATTAATGAGGTCTAGGGGGAGCAATGTGGCTGGTAGTCTAATCAATGAGTTAATTGATGTGTGTGAGATGAAAATTTAGAAGAATGAATAAGAGAAAATGCGAAGTGTCGATGTAATCTAAGGAGTAAACATTCATTAACTGATGAACTCTACACAACCATGAAGCTCAATTCAGTCCCAAGTTTTGGCTTACATTATAAAATCAAGATACTGCTGAGGTTGAAAAAATGTTCCTATGTATGAATCAAAAGTAACATCCTACCTGGACTGCCAGAAAGCCAGAGAAATGTTGTAGAGCTCAAACCACAATCAAATGGCAAATATTAAGAGAAATCAGTGTTAAGAACTGAGTAGTAGAGCAAGCAGGGGTGGGGCAAGGGAGGGAGGGGTTAGTCAATCTCAAAAGTTCATTAAATTAAAGAAAGGTTTTATCAAGCTTGGAAATTATTAAAACTTGGGGGTTAAAAAGACCCTGAAGAAGTTTAATACCAGACACACCAACCAGGTCTAACAACTGCGACATGAATCCTGGAAGTAGAAGCCACAGCTCTAGCCATGAGTTTAAGTTCAGCTAGAAATCACCTGAGATGCTCAGCCAGGGGCAGGAAATGTGTGAGTCTCACAAAGGGGAAGGCGAGCCTGGCACCCAGGAAGGGCTATGCCTCTACAAATAGGATCTGCAAAACCTTGAACACCAGGCTTTGAGCACAGTCAACTCATAGGCCCAATAGCTCTGTGCAGACCTGAAACAGTCCATCACGGGCTGGAAAATCTGGAGAATTAGAACACACCATCTGCCAGGGGCTTTAGAAGAAGACTTAGAAACTCAGAAGTACCTCAAAGTGCCAGTCTAAAGAACTGACAGAATTATGGCTCATGGTTGAGTCAAATCTGAGGGATGAGAAAAAGGATCAACTTATAAAGGTCCTGACTGGGACACCAAAGAGCTATGGGAAGCTAAAAAAGAATAAAGAACATCATAAAAATGGAGGCCCCCCCAAAAAAGGTCCCAGTAATAAAAAAAAATAGATTCCAAAGATTGCATCATTGTGACACCAAGTCCTAGCCTCAGACCCATTTATTCACTCAATTAAAAAAATTTTTACCAATAAAAAATACATTTTTATTGAACACCTATGATGAACACAATTCTAGGCACTAGATACAGCAGAGAATCAGAAGACAATTTTTCTTCTCTAGGAAACATACATCCAAATGTATCTGTGGGCGACAGTTCCCACTTTGCATGCGATGCAGAGTGAAACAGAGCGGCTCTCTATGCAGTCAGCCTCTCATCCTCTGGACCTGAGTGGACACTGGTGTTAGTTTAATACACCCAGAGAAGACCCCCAGCTTGGATAAAATATTGACACTTTGAGATAGTGGCTTTGGTGGTGGCAAAAGAATGATGTGAGCATTCACTAGCTTCCACATCAAAAGCCAAGGAAGGAGAGGGATAAGTTGTTCATACTAATGAGACAATGTTAGTGCATGAGCAGGTCTCGTTCTCAGGCTCTTCCCAGTCTCCCCACCTCCCTCATGCCACAGCCCCACAGTGAAAAGGCATCTTCCCAGGGGTGCTCCTTTCTTCCAATGATTATTACTTATTTGATTACCTAAAAAGGAATAGTTACAGAGAGAAATATTGATGTGAGAGAAGCACATCAATGGTTGCCTTCTGCACGTGCCCTGATCAGGGCCTGAGCTGGGGAGGAGCTTGCAACCTAGGTACATGCCCTTGACTGAAATTGAAACCAGGACCCTTTGGTCTTCAGGCCGATGCTCTATCCACTGAGCCAAACCGGCTAGGGTGATTTGTCTCATTCTTAAATGTGATGTTTCAGAGAACAATGCATCTCTAATGTTAAAATAAAATGCAATGGAAAAATACCACACAGCTTACATTATGGTAATTTCCAAAATTCTTGGTCAATCACACCTACTTGAGTGTACATAAGCTTCACCATTTCACCCACATCATCACCACACCCATTAAATATGATTCATAGCTCAGCCAATCTCCCTAAGCCACCCTAGCCAACTGGAATCACTCCCTCCCCAAACTACTCTTGGAGCTCTTAAAATAAATATCACAGTCACTATGGTACTGACACAATGGTTCTCAGATATGTCTTAATTAGCAAACCATGACACTGCAGCTAGATTTCTTGTCTCTATCTGTGATTTTATTCCTCACATCTTTGGTCTGTGGTGCCTCTATCACTTTATAGCTTTTTCTTTCTCCAGGTACCAGCTGTTTAGTGGAGAAGCAGGAATTCAAACTCAGAAATCTCTGACTTTAAATGAATGCTTAACAAGCCCATTATTCGTGTTGTCTGAGATCTCTCCAGTATCCCCTTAGCAACCCCCTTAGCAAAAGTGTTATCTCTCCCTCCTGGGAGGACCCCTGCATTCTATGAGTTCCTCCTGGCATTGCCATCTGGGCTGGCTGCCCACTGGCAGACCAAGGAGCTCCACCTCTGTTCCCACCACTTGTCCAAGCACTGTTCTTACAGGCCCATGACTTGATCTCAACTAAAACCCTTAAATAATAGCAGGTGAAAACCTCTGGATGCATCTTCCCCCTCAGAGTTACTGCAGGCAAAAAGGGACCGATACCCAAAGGCTCTGACCTGGGGCCTGTGGACACCACACTCACGTTGCGGCACTGACCATGTCAGATCGTACTTATTTTATTGCTTGGGCATTTGTCCCACTATACTGTGATCTACTCAAGAACAGGGACCAAATCTTACTCGTTTCCCAATTTCTTGTATTCAGTAGAATGGATGGTGTGCCGCCATAGCAGTGCAACACATCCTGCTTGATTACTGAGTGGATGGATGGATGGAAGGATGGATGGGTGGGTGGATGGATGGATGGATGGATGGATGGAAGGATGGATAAAACAATTAAAATGGCAAACCTACAGGAAGGCTAAGACAGGGTGATTGAAGAGTCCTGTGATTTTTCTCATAGGAAAATTCTTGGTACCTGCCCCGAAAGATATGTAGAATTTAGAATGGAGATTACAAGAAACTGGATCAGCCCTAACCGGTTTAGCTCAGTGGATGGAGTATTGGCCTGCAGACTGAAAGGTCCCAGGTTCGATTCCAGTCCGAGGTATATGCCTTGGTTGTGGGCACATCTCCAGGGGAAGGTGCGCAGGAGGCAGCTGATCGATGTTTCTCTCTCATCAATGTTTCTAGCTCTCTATCTCTCTCCCTTCCTCTCTGTGAAAAATCAATAAAATATATATTTTTAAAAAGAAGCTGGATCAACTCAACATATGTTAAGAAAGGAAGGAAGGGATAGCAGGGGGGTAGGAGGTGGTTAGGAAGAGAGGAAGGAAGGCAGAAAGGAAGGAGTTGAGGTAGAAAGATTTAGGGTTATTTTGTGGATGACAGGAGAGTAGTACAAAAGATGCTCACACCCTCCTACTGTCTCTCCTCCACTTCATGGGACTTGACCTTCTAAGAAGTTCCTATAGAAGGTTCTAGGTTATTCCAAGGATCTCCTTCTCTCTAATCTTCAGAGCCCATCATCCTCTCTCTGAAACTGCTTAGCTCCTCCTTCCTGGATGCTGTAAGCTCAGGGTGTATGCCTTTGTGAGTTAATGACTCTTCCTTTCAACACCACCCACCTGCCTTCTATCCTTTGCACGTGAAAACCCCGCATTTGATGCTCAGTGATGTCACCCATTCCTCAGCTTCCAGGCCCTGGGCTGACCTGCAGGGAATGCCTGAGCCTGGAAGATTGTGGAGAAGAGAGAAGATGAAATCCTGATCACCCACAGGTGACTCATAGGAACTGAGGGCCTAGAGGTGAGGTGACGTTTAAGGACAAAAAGTTTTTCAGGGTATCGAAACTGGTTTGGCTCAGTGGATAGAGCATCGGTCTGGGGACTGAAGGGTCCCAGGTTCGATTCCAGTCAAGGGCATATACTTTGGTTGCAGGCACATCCCCGGTAGGGGGGTGTGCAGGAGGCAGCTGGTCAATGTTTCTAGCTCTCTATCCCTCTCCCTTCCTCTCTGTAAAAAAATCAATAAAATATATATTTTTTAATTTTCAGGGTTGAAATCTCATGAAGTATTTCAGAGTCTGTTTGACCACTGATTTCTCTTGGTGTCATGGATAATTACAAGAAGAAGGAAGATTCTAAAGGCAATTAGGGGAACATGGCTGGAGCCTTGGAATTGCATTACTGATTGGATGGTAGTAGAAAGGGAGAAAAACCCCAGAGACATCCTTGGAACAGAGATATCTGGAGGGCTTCTATCTGCTTAATCAAACATCTGAATACAGAGTTACAAAACGAAAGTTTCATCTTCATTCACGAACTGCCTTCTGTGCTGTGTTGAATCTCAGGCAAATCCCATATCTACATCCCAAAAACCTTCATGCAATTCAGTATAATTCAGCATAAAATTTCAATCACAAAGGTTTTTGTAATATGTTAATTGTGATTCTTATCACTCCAATTGTAGTTCCCTTCTCTATATTCACACTTGGATTCACATCTGTCCTGCCCAGGTGTCCCGTGTTCCTTCCAGAGTGCCAGCAAGTTTCCCTCTGGAGCCCACCTCTCCTGGCCTAACCCCTCCATCCATTTTCCACACACAGCTCACCCTGAATGTCCAGTGTTCTCAGCTTAGTCACCACCCCAAGAACAAGAGATGATTCTATTATATTAGGTGCCCAATTTTACCAGAGAACATGCAGGAGAAACAGAGGGCACCCAAAGAACTGTGGACTTTGTAGTTAGTCCCTTATTTTATAGCACTTATCACAGGGAGTAGACTCCTTATTCACTTGTCTGTCTGTCCAGCTAGACAATTCATTTACTCTAGGTCAGGTGTGTCATATTCCAAACTATATTGCACTGCAAAGTATGAGCATGGGACATGGCCTCTGTCAAATACATGTGCAGGCCTGAGTGGGAAGTATTTGAGTAAATACCAGTTCCTTTTTGTCAAATATATTATCTATGCTCAGAGCTGAGCTGGGAGCATTAGGTGCTATCACCCTCTTCCAGCAACATACTCTCTCATAAAACCAGGACTCCCTGCTCTGGACTTCTCAGTCCATAGCGTACTCAGAATCAGCTTTTCCTGGCTTCCATGAAATCAGCTGAATGTCCATCACGTGCAGTACCTGAGCTGGGAGGGCCTGTAAGAGAAACCCAGGCCTCCATCAGAGGAGAGGAAAGCAGAGGGTTCACAATAGAGTCAACAAGTATGGGGTTAGTAAGCATCTTTATTGGATGTTTGAGGGGTTCTGTGACTGACAAGGCCATGGGTCCTCAAGATGTCCTCATCCTCTTCCTATACATGTTCTGAGAGATATATTCATCTCTCGAGACACCCTTGAGAAAGCTTTTGTGAAAAGAGTTTATTCTTTTCCATGATTACATGGAGACAAGATGCCATAGAATTCCAATTAGAAAAGAGTCAGTCTTCTCTTCTATCTCTTCTATCAAAAAGCCAAATAGAAATGAGCATCTGTCTAGGTTAAGTCCAATTTTCATTTCCTCTTCAATTTCTTAATTCAGAAGTACAGCCTGTGTCATGAAAAGCATCAGAGAAGAGACTTTGGCCAGAGGCTTCTGCAGTCCCTTGTTTTAGTCTCTCTTGAGTCACCGGGATGCTCTGCAAGTTAACAAAATGTGTGATGAGTATGTTTCCCTATCTGAAATGTGAGACAATAGGAGTACCCTCAGCCCAGGGCTGTTGGGAGGATTAACTGAAGAGCCAATTCCTGGCTCATAAATGTGCGAAGGAAATATTTTATCTTAAGCTTATCTTTATTTTTAAAACTAGCACCATTTCTCAGTTCCATGTTTCTCTTCTTTCCAATTTTCTCACATCAGACACCCATTTAGAGTCCAATGTCTCCCCTGCATCTACAATGTCTTCAGTTTTACCCCTCGTCATTGTTCCCCCAGATCCTCATTGAAGAAATTGAGTTAATAATCATCCCATGCCCTCTCTTTCCTCCCCTGGTCTCTCAACTTTCTCTCTGGCCAGGCTTTGAGTTCTTTGCCTCCCCGATCCCTGGGTCTTGGTTGGGGATGTTGGAATCCCTTCTGGATTCTCATGGCGGAGGTCACCTCCAGCAGAGTCCAGGCTTGAGTCAGACCCCTTCCCATATCACATCACGGGGATCTTTTCCTCTCGTTGGTGTGGGGCTGACCCAACACCCTTCCCCCTTCTGGCCCAACACAAAGTGAGAGGGACAGTGAGCAAGGAACCCCTGCTCCCTCTCCACAAGGCCTTTTGCAGATGATGGAGGTGCTGCCTTTTCTGGCCTGGAGTCAGGATCTGCCTCTTCCACAGGCAGTGGTGGCCTGAGGAACAAAGGGGAGGAGAGATGCCCAGAACAACCTGGGTTGGAACAAAGTCAAAGAGCCTCGTGGTACTGAGGAAACAAAACTTTATTTTTTTCACGGGGTCAGACACAGGTGCTGGGGTAGATGGTGCAGGGTCTGGCAGAGCTGGGGGCGGGCACGCTGTGGGGCCCTGGAATGTGGAGAGAAGGAGCCACTGAGGACCTTAGCAGCTCTCCAGAGACACCACAGCGCCAGCAAAGGGCATGGAAATGCGGGTACTGAGAGGGCACACACTGGGCAGAGGCTGGTCCCTGGAACTGTATCTCCTCTCAAGTGGCTGGTCTCAGCAGCAGACCCAGGTCAGCAGCAGCCCCCAGAGCTGTGGCCACAGCCAGAGCCCCCAGAATGCTGCCCACTGCCAGTGTCACAGGAGTCAGAGCTCTGGCTCCTGCAGCGGTGGGACCTGTGGTGGTGCCTGAGGTGGCTCAGGCAGCAGCCACCCTCAGAGGAGCTGGGGCCACAGCCGCCCCCAGAGCTCAGAGCACAGCCAGAGGGGGCTGGGGGCAAACACTGTGCTGGGCTCTTTGGGGGGCACTTGGGGGAGGGGCACTTGGGGGTGCACTTGGGAGGGGGCTGGCACTGCTGCTGGTTCTGCTGGCAGGACATCTCGGCAATGTTGAGGACCTGGATCGAGAAAGGAAAAGGTCAGCGCAAAAGCTCCAGGCCAGTGTCTCCCCCAGGAACAGCCTGCTAAAGCCCCTGCTCCTCAAACAGGCTGCCTCCTCAGCTGTGATGCTCAGGAGGAAAATAGGATCTGATGTCAACTTAACGTGATCTGAAACAGCATTCTCCTCCCTGGGCCCCCTTTCCAAAAGGACTCCACATCTGCCTCTCCTCCTGGACACGTGGAAGCAGATGCACCGCTGTAGTGAGGCCTGGACAATGTCTCTGGCAAGTGTGCACCTTTCCGGCTGAAGAGTGGAGGGGCTGCTGACAGCCAGGGCCCTGGCAGGCCACAGACCTCCATGCAGCCCACAGAGGTTCCCTGCTCACTGTGCCTCTCCTGGGCCCTGCTGCCCTCCACGGTCCTCTTCTGGCTGCTTCCACATCACACACTTCGGAATCCCTCTTCCCCACTGAAGCCTGAGCCTGTCTTCCCATCACTCCCAGCTGAGGCCTGGCCCCTGATAGACACTCACCGGAGGCAGAGGAGGCAGGAGAAGTCTGTTCCTGGGGAGGCTGTGGATGGGGAGCCCAGGGCAGGAGCCCTTTTATCCAGTGCTGGTTGGTGACACAGGGACCGGGCATGCTGCTGCTTTCACAAGCAGGGGGAGGTGACAGCGCCACACACTCCCATCCCAGGTCCCCGCTGCTTCCTGCACACGTGCCAACATGCCTGGCAAGAGGGAACCAGGAAATCTTGCTGACTGCTCCCCAGGCATGTTGGGGTCCTGCCATTTCTCCTTTCATTCACTCAGCTCAGGTGCTTTAACTCTGGCTCTGCCCCTTGCATTTGTGCCAGGCAGTGAGGATGTGAAGGTAGATGCATATGACACATTTCCTGATCTTGAGCATTTCAAGTTTAACTGGACAGACATCGGAGAAGTAAACATCTATCTTTGTTACCATGTGATTTGTCCTTTGAAACTTCTGTATTTCAGGCATTAGTTCCCATTGCTCTGCATAGTGCCAAGGGTCGGTCATCATTTTTTGAGGTATAATCAACTCCTGATCTGAGTCCAATGGACCATGGGAATGAGATGAGCTGAGAAATCAATGGAGGGTGGGATCCTGGCCCTGTCTCTGCAGGTGGACCCTGAAAAGAAGTGAAGCTAAAGTAGAATTATATAAATGAGCTGACAAAATACCAGAATTATCTACAATAGTTGAGGTCATGAGACTCATATTTAGTATAAAAATCCTTTTTTTATATATTCTGTTTCCTGTGGAATATATGATATTGATTATAAAAATTGTCTATGAGTGTGAAATATTTAAGATAGTTATTTGGAGTCAGGAGAATGATTTCAATGTGTGGCTAATAAGTTGGTCTGAAGGTTGTGGGTTATTGTTAAGCTGATTAACAATGTGTGGCTAATGGTGAGGCTGATGATGGTGGTGATGTTCTGGGCATCAGATCTAATAGAACAAATCTGATAATAGCTACGGTTTGTGTAGGATGATTTTTGAATAAAATCTAAACCCTATTGTCTCATTGGATTGTATGACAGTACTAGAGGTGAATTTCTCATTAACCTCATTTCTACTATTATGGTGACTGCATTTTGCTATTTTTTTTTTCAAAAAGATTACATTGAGAACTTCAATTTATATTAAAATTAAATGGTGCCCTTGCTGATTTGGCTCACTGAGTAGAGCTTTGGCTTGCAGACTTGTGGATCCTGGGTTTGACTTCGGTCAAGGGCACATGCTGGAGTTGCAGGCTCAATCCCCAGTAGGGGGTGTGCAGGTGACAGCCAATCAATGATTCTCTCTTATCATTGATGTTTCTATCTCTATATCCCTTTCCCTTCCTCTCTGAATTCAATAAAAATATTTTTTAATTAAATGGTCAGTTTTAATGAAATATTTATTTTCTGTACTTTATAGTTTATTGCTGATAGATAAAAAATTCCTTATACAGGCTTGCACTTTACAACTTATCCACTTTAAAGCATAGGGTGTCCATGATTTATTTTGAAATACCTGGGGGAGAATAAATTGTACTGGGTCACACAAAATTGTGCCTTGGGATGTGGAAAGGGAGAAGAGTTAGAGTTAGCATTGACCCTCTTCGCTGATATTCTTCTGTCTCCAGAAGGAGTCTCTTGCTGAGGGGATATCTGTAGGCTTCACCCTGAACTATGCTAGAATGTTCATTTTCTTCAGAATTTTGAGGACCCCACCAATTGATATTGTGTAGAAGGAACTATTCATGAAAGGTTAAATGGGTGCTTTCTCATTACAGATGGGTGGTGGAGCTGAAGAGGAACATAAAATGATGGAGAGCACATGCTCCTTGAGCTCCTCTACTTGCCCTGCCTGGGTTTTCTGGGCTTGGACAGATACAGGCTCCACAGCTCTATTCAACGCAAGGACCATCCCAAGTGATGGCCGGTAACAACATCTGGTGCATCATTCACTCAGAGTCACTGAAGAGCAACAGGGGACACCCCAAAACTCTGACTTCAGACATGGGGACTACCCACACACATGGATATGATAGCATCCTCAGCTGGCTCATGCTTATTTCATCATTTGCCTGGCAGTCCCACTACACTGTCAACCTAAGAATGGAGGAGTATCTTCCTCACTCTTTTTTTTTTTTAATATATTTTATTGATTTCTTTACAGAGAGGAAGGGAAAGGGATAGAGACTTAGAAACATTGATGAGAGAGAAACATCGATCAGCTGCCTCCCGCACACCCCCCACCGGGGATGTGCCCACAACCAAGGTACATGCCCTTGACCGGAATCGAACCTGAGACCCCTCAGTCCGCAGGCCAATGCTTTATCCACTGAGCCAAACTGGTTTCGGCTCTTCTTCATTCTTGAATCTCCTTTGGCCCAGCACAACAAATAATATCTCAATATAAATGGTTTGAAATAATAAATAATTTTCATGAATAAATGAATGAAAATCAAGGACTCGTACAGGGGAACTGAGGTACAGATGTTTAGACCATCTTGGGGGTCCTTAAATTCCTTCTTTCCTCAAAACTCTTGACATGTTCCATTGGGAATGCAAAGGGTCTGGGGCTGGAGAGTGCAACAAGCTGCCCTCTAAATAAGACTCACCCTTACCCTCTTCCAATCCCACCACCCATTTCCTGCCTGTGAACCAAAATAAAAATAAAAAAGAGGTCCAAGATTTTACCAGTTCTCACTGGAATCAGAATATTTCCTTACTCCTCTTTGCTCAAGAATTTTCCCTATGCTGTGGGTTCAGAGCCTCGAGCTCTGAAATAAATAGGGAGTCATTTTTTAAGTTGATACAATCGCATGCAATTAATTGCTTTTTTACTTCTTCTGGAGTCACTGAACTTCCTCCAAGCTGTCCTGGAAGCAAAACTAAGGGTAGTATCAAGCCCCTTCCAAGTGGCCCCTTAAGTGCCTGCCACTCACTTACCCTACTCAGGGCCCGCCCACAGTCGCTTCCTGCTGAGCCTGAGCTCTGGGGGCTGCCTCAATTTAGCTATGAGAGGTTAATTGGGATCCACATAAGATCCTTAGTCAGGTGGCACTTTCTGACTACCTCTTCCCATTTTCCTTAAGAATGACTCAGCTGTTTGTCACGGAATGCCATTGTTATGGGGGAGGAGGAGACAGAATTGACAAGGAACCGTGAGTTCTAAGCAAAGGGAGAAGGGTTTTGTATTTGTTGATTCATCCTTGCCTTCTGATATGGAATGTCCAAAATGTACTCCAAGGAGTTGGACCTGAGATCCTGCACTGCCCACTCCTATGCCAACTGCAATGACTAAGTCATAAAATTGCTCCCAAGATTCATCCAGCAAGGCCAGTCTCTGTATTTCCTTGATGTCTCAGGACCACAGGGAGCCAGCACTCCTTGGGATGGGACTCCTAAGATTGGTGACTCTTGGGGAGTTGTCTTCATGCTCTGGAAGAAGTGACCAGGCCATGATCGCATTGTGATTCTCTGTCATCACAGGATGGCTGCTCTGCGTGTGGGGCTTGCTGAGCACCTGATCTCATGAGGAAAAGGATGAGTGAGAGGCAGGAGCAACTCATCAAGGTGGGGGTGAGATTAATGAGCCTCATCTCATTAATGAATCTTGTGGGGGTATACAAGAGGCAGCTGATCAATGATTCTCTCATTGATGTTTCTAACTATCCCTCTATGTAAAAAATCAACAAAATATACTTTTAAAAATAAAAAATAAAGATTAAAAAAAAAATAAGACCATTCTGAGCATCAACAAAACAAGAGCATTATCCAAATCACACACACAAAAAAAGATCAAACATCGCTTTCTCAGTGTACATGAGGCACTGCTACTTCTTTATCAATTGCAGCTTTGGTCTTGCCCCATTAATCCTGATTTCTAGCGAAAAATTATTGATACCTAATCATATAAATGCCCCCTGCTTTCTGAAAGTACCAAACACAGAGCAAAATTTCACTTCCTTGAACCTTCCCCAAAATTACCTAGCCCAAGCCATTTAATTTTAATATGCATGATTAATGTTTGCTGCAGCTCTGAATTTTATATTCAGGGGGAAAAATAGCAGTCATTGTGATAGTAGAGATGACATCAATGAGAAATTCACTTCTTTTACTGCCATACAATCCAATGGAAAAATAGGGTTCAGGTTTTATTCAAAAATCATCCTACGTAAACCTTAGAAATTATCTGGTCTGTTCTAAAGATGTCATGCACATAACATCACCCCCATCATTAACTTCACCATAAGCCACACATTGAAATCATCTTCTTGTCTTCCAATAATAATCTTAAATATTTTACATTCATAGGTCATTTTTATAATCAATATCATACATCTCACAGGAAACTAAATGTGAAAAAAATTGATTTTTTATACTAAATATGAGCCTCATGACCCCAACTATTGTAGATAATTCTAGTATTTTCTCAGCTCATTTATATAATTCTCCTTTAGCTTCACTTCTCTTATGGGGCCCACCTGCACAGACAGGGCCTGTATTC